TGCACGTTTAGTTATTTCATTTTTTGTTTCTATTTAAAATAGTTCATGTCTTTAAATATTTTCTTTTTCTATTTTTTTTTTGTATTTAAAAATTCTAGCATCATCAAGTGAACGAATAAGTCAAATGACAAAAACATATCATGATATAAGTGCTATAACTCGCATGTTAGAAGATCGCGAGAATGATTTACAAATGGCAGTTACATTAGGTCATACATTACTTGAAAGTAATAAATCTTTACGTAGTCAAGTAACATTACTTGAACAAGATATTGAACAAACAACTGAAATTGTTAAACAACTTAAACATGATTTAATACTTAAAGAACGTCTTATAAGATTTTATAGTGATTTGGAAGAAAATGATTTACAATCAACAGCATCAAAGTAAACACAATAAAAAACACAAAAAAGATTTTGTTTTTTTTTGATATTATTTTAGTAATTTGGATGTTCGACATTATGAACAAAAAATTCGAAATCTTGAAGATGAAAATAATGAATTACGTGCTGAAGTAATGTTGAAAATTAGATTCATTTTAATTTAAAAAGAAAATACAAATGTTATTTTATCTAGAGTATACAATTAAAAGTTAATTGTGACAATTATGAACATCAAGAACAATCTATAGTTGATAATTTTGTTAATGCTTTAGGTAAATAAAAGAAAAAAAAAACATTGAATAAAAAAAGAAATTTTTTTTTTTTCGTTTTTAAGCTCATGCAAATGCTGATATTGATAATTTACAACAAGAATTAATTAAAAAAAATGATGAAAATTCTAAACAACAAGATGAAATTCTTCATTTAGCTTATGAAGTAAAAATTAGTTGTTTTTTTTTTGTTTTTTGCTAAAGATAATTCAATTATTTTTAATATAGATGCGAGAAATTCGTCGTCGATTATGCGAATTAAAAAAAGAAAATGAAGAATTAAAAAATCTTCTATTCATTAGTGGAAAAAATCGTCAAGAATATGAAACAAAAGTAAATAAAAATTAATATTTTTCTTTTTGTTTGTTTGATTTTAATTTTAATTTTCATTAGATTCAACAATTAGAAAAAAATTATAGTGAATGTCTAGATAAACTTCATCAAACACAAAATGAAGTTAATAATTTACAACAAAAATTACTTAATATATCACCATCATCATCTATATCAGATTTATCAAATCATCATAATACAATTTTTTTATCACCTATTGAATATGCTAATTTTATGGGTGTAGAACATTCACTTAAATCTGAACTTGAAGAAATTCTTGAAGATCCAAATCAACTTTGTCCACCAACAATACATATAAATGAAAAAATTAAAAAAATTAAAAAAAATTTTCGTAGAAAATTAACACGAGAACAAAGTGATACCGATGGTGAATCAACTATAAATGATTCAGCATTTAGTGATACAGAAAGTTTAAGCAGGTATGTTTATTAAAAAATATTTAATCATTCAATGTAGTGTATTCAAAAGCAAAATTTTCTACTTTGTTTTTTTTTTTTGCTTACTCTATATTTTTATTGTGAAAGTCTAATTGAATCGCTTTTGAGTTAAGGCTGTATAGATCCTCATGAACTATGAGTATACGGAGAAGAGTTCGAATCAGAGATGTTGGTGAGTCTTTTTTTTTTGTGACCCGACCCGCTTGACGCGTTGAGCGATATTTTTTTCGGCCCGCGGGTTAACTCGCGAGTTAATGCAAATTTAATTGCAATAGTATTAAAATATTATCTTTTATTTCTGAGTACATCCATAAGTATTACAAAATTTGAAGTTCAGCTTAGGGAGATAAAGAGTTCAGTGAAAATAATAGCATATGCTCATGTTCACAATGTAAAAAAATTGATAATTAAATAGACTATATATCATTCATTCCCGTTTTGTAAAGTGGTCGAATTAATAATAAGTCTTTCAATAAGCTTGGTTTTGCACATGATTTGCGAGCACAATAAACAAAGAATAACTTGAGGAAACTGTCATTCGACACTCGTTAGAAAAGTTTGACTGAGATATTGACTACAAACTATAATAAAAACTGATACACGTACGAAAAGATAGATTTTTTTGTTACGTTACTCTGCTCGTAAAAACCAAAAAGATAAAACAAGCGGGAAAAATATTAAGAAAAGATGAAGCGAACAGAGAAAATGTGAAGATGCAAAAAAAAAAACTATCGAACTTAGTATTTTGTACAAGCAAGTTACGAAAGAGAAGTACATTCATGTATGTGTATGTTTCAAAACAATTAGGTGAACGACTAGAATCAAGATTTAGTTAATACAAATGATAGAAAGCATTTTGATGTTAAAATAAGAATTAGTGGAAAAGATAAAACCAATCATCGGTGGAAGTTAGAAATGAAATGAATACGTGCGTAAATCTATATAGAAAGAAAAAATGAAAAATGAAAAACAAAATCTCGAAAATACTAACCCGTAACTCGTCAGAGGTCCAATCCGTCAACATCTCTGATTTGGATTCTTAGCTTGTGATTGCCGAGATACTGTAGTTTTAAGCATAATGACACATAACGAAAACTTATATTCGAATTTTGATTTGAAATTTTCTATTGTGGACAAAGTAGTCCGGTTTGCATTAGCTTGCGACCAATTGTCAAGATAAACAATGAATCCTATTGATAAAAAGACAAAATAGCAATCCTACTATGCTGTATAGCACAAATGAATAAAAACTCATTACAATTCTCACTAGGTCAATATATTCTAAGTAAAATATCTTGTACGATGAGAGCAATTAATTTTACTTAAGTTCGATTCGACTAATCGGAAAGTCGAAAATTAGGTCGGTTCGTTTTCGAGCTCTGCTGGACAACATAAACAAAGATCAATAAGTAGATTTCTTGTACTTGTTTTCTTGAGATCATCTCTCTTGAATAATGTTTCTAATTGATATAGTTTATAAGAGAATTCACTAAAAAGTCAATCTCATTATTGATCTTTCTTTAAGTCCTCCGCTTCATTAAAAGAAAAAAGAAGTTTTAATTTCGTCTGATAAAAATTAAAATTTTGACTAGGCAGATAACAGAACGAATCTACAATATGTACTTAAGGCATACTAAAAGTTCTGGTCACAGCGTTTAAAGAATCTTTTTAGATAAGTCCTATGAAAATAAGATTTCCTATATACCATTCGACACGTCTCATAAAGCTCTGCAACATCGGATATTTGCTTTTTCGTTTCTCAATAGGTTACCTTTTCCGAAAAGATCATTTAAACGCCATGCCCAGAACTTTTGCTATGTCCTAAGTATAATTTTCTATGGCATCATAGATCAGTTTCGATTAATCTTGAATGCAGAAGATTGGCATATAATCTATTATATTTGTTTCAAAGCAAAAAAAAAAAATACTTCAAATCAATTTTTTTTTATCCTTAATTCTTTTTTGTGAGTGTCAACAATGAAAAATAACATAATAAAACTTAGTAAATATATTTTTTTTTGAATAAAATAAAAACAAAGTAGATAAATTTTGTTAAAATGCTTTATTTCATTTCACCTGCTTAGTAATTCATCTTGTCCATATTGTCATCGATGTTCACCTACACTACCCATAGCTGATTCTAAGTATGCATGTGAAAAATAATTTTTTTATTTCTCTCTTAATAATAATTTCTCTCCCGCAATATAGATCATCATCTACTTATCAAATCGAACATCGAATACCATGTGGAATTTCATCTAGATTAAGACTTGTGAAACGGTTTGAAGGTAAAATTTAATAAGAAATTTTTCATTTCGAAACAAAAAAAAAAATAATAATAAACGATATATTTTCATTTGATTCAGGATCCAATATGTTAAAACGTTGGCAACAATTAGCTGAACCAAGTCTTTCATCATGTCTTCAAACAATACCCGGTGTTTATACACGTGCACAAATTTTACATGAACTTAAAGAAGATGATGAAGAAGAAGAAGAAGAATCTCAAGAAAATAAATTAGAATTATCATCAAATTCATCTGAGTAAATTATTTATTATTTGAATTTAATTTTAAAAAATTAATTCATTTTTTTTTTTTTAGAAAAACAACAACAAATCGATTAAATCTTGTTGAATTAATAACTCAACAAGGATTAATATCACAAACAATTGATTCGTTTGCACCTGATCCCGATTTAAATGAAGATCCACCATTATCACCAACACATGGTATTCAAATGGAAACGAATGCACTTTTAAATCAAGTTATGCAACGTTTAGTTGGTATGTCATTACGTACATTTGAAACATTAACAACATCACTTACATCGACAAATGATCATGATACTGATAGTGATGATGATGATGATGAAATTAAAAATATACAATTTGAACAACGATTACCAACAAAAAATTTAATACAACCACCATCATCACCAAAATTTGATGGTCTAACAGCGCCAACACCAAATACAGCAATGCGTGCAATTAAATCAAGTACATTTTTACATGTTTCATCATTAAATCCATTAACAAAAGCATATGCTTCCCGTTCACCAGGCGATATACCATCAATTGTTAGTGATTTTCTTCGAAATAATCCTTCCATGAACATAAAATGAGAAGCAAAAAAATTTTTTTTTTTGTTCTAGTGTAAATTGATTAAAGTTTCATTAGTTTTTTCTCTTTGTGTGTATTTTATTATTATTTTTTGATGAAACTGTAAATTTGAATAGATATATGATCTGACTGTTGCCTTTTTTTTCTCTTTTTGTTTGATAGTTAGACCATATTTATGTATTTTGTATTGTGGATTTTCTCAACCTATCTTTCATTCAAAGTCACGGTTTCTTTTGATTTCGCAATTTTCTTTTTTTGCTACAAAAAAACAATTTCGTCTATATACGCTGTGTGTATGCGTGGCGTTAGCTTCCTTCTTTTTTTTTTTTCGTTTGATAAATAGAACCAAGACGAGAAATTTGTAAAAACAAAACGAAATTGTCTACTTTGATTTAGATGTCGAAAAATACAAAACGACAGAGAAAATTGGAGGAAATGGTCGGTAGTAGTTCGATAAAAAAACGAAAAAATAATAATGATAATACTTCGATCGTCGATAAACAGAATGTTGTAGATAATTCAAGTAAGTTATTGGAAAGATTAGAATAACAAAGGTGATGGGATAAACTTAATCTTCTAACAGAAACAAATTCAACTGTAAAAAAAATCTCCGAGAAAGATTTAGAAGTACTTAAACAGTTCGATCTTGATATGACATTTGGACCTTGTACTGGTGAGTTATTATTCAATAAAGATTATATTATATTTCTTTGATGATAGGTATTCCACGTATTGATCGTTATGAACGAGCTTTACGTCATGATTTAGATCCTCCTACTCACGTTTTGGAATTGATTAATCTCTATCCGAACGATCGTCAAGTTACTCATTGGTAACAAATACATTTTCTTAGACGTATAAATATATTCTTTTCTTTTTGTTCTCTAGTATTTGGCGTGATTATACATTATGAAGAAATATTTCGACATTTTGTCTGTTTAAGGACAAAAACCGTTTTTTGTTTTAAAATTTAAATATTTTTTAAAAAAAATTTGTTTTTTATTCTCAATAATTCTGAATAAAATAAATATTTTAGATTGTAATAACAATGCGTTCTTTTTCATGGTTCCGTCTTCTTTTTCGTCCACGTTATAAAAATCAGGTATATAACAGATATCATACAAATTATTGTTTTACTCAGACTCTTTCTTCCGGAGGAGCGATTTAGGACGAACATCTTTTTTTTTTTGGGAACACAGACATATAGTACGTGTTACTATAATTGCAAACTTTGGAAGGAGCACAAGCATTCCTGGTTAAAGTAATGATACGAATGACTTTGTTTTTTTTTCTAGCTATGGCGTTTTATTCCATTGTTCAATAAACGTAGTACATTTTTCTCTGCAGTTCAACGTCGTATTCCTCTTCGAACACTAACAGCTTTACCATTATGGTTTATTGTTCGAGCAGCAACTCAAGTTGAAGATGCTAATGAATCCAATCGACCGAAGAGTTTGTTTTTTGTTTTGATTTATATTTATTTTAAAATATTATTATTACTTTTTTTTTTTTTTTGTTTAGATCTTGCAAGTATTGTTGAACAATTAGATATGATGTTTGATAAGGAAGAATTTCAAAAAGCATATGAATATATAGAACAAAATAAAACAAATGAATTATTTCAAAGTCATTATATTCGATGGCGTATAGCTCGGTATATATAATTAAAATTAAATTTTCTTATTTTTTTTTTTTTTGTATTTAATTAGAATTTTTTATAAACTTTCATTAATAACAAAAGATAAACAATTAAAAAGAAAATTAGTTGAAGAAGGTTTTGAACAAGTTAAATTAGCTCTTGAACATGGAAATCATATTTATGCTGTTCATAAATGGTATGGAATATTACTTAATGAAAAAGGTCAATATACAAGTACAGATGAACAAATTCGTAATGCATATGAAGTACTTGATCATTTTGAAGAAGCTGTTCGATTAAATCCACAAGATCCAACTTCATATTATCTTTTAGGTTCATGGTAAGTTTAGAAGAAAAAAAAATTTTGTTTTTTTTTATTCTTATCTTATTTTCATCTGTCTATTTTTTCAAAGGTATTGGGAAATTGCACAATTATCTGGTTGGAAACGACGAATAGCAAAATTAATTTATGGTGAATTACCAAATGGAACAATTCATGATGCATTAAAAAAATTTCTTTTAGCTGAAGAAATTTCACCAAATTTTTATAGTAAAAATTTATTAATGATTGTTAAATGTTATATTGAACTTAATTCACGTCCAGCTGCAATGGAATTTGCAAAATTACTATTAGATCGTGAAAGAATAACACAAGAAGATGAAGAAGTTCATCAAGAATTACTCAAACTTATTCCACGTATTGAACGTCTTTTACCATTTCCACAACAAGGAAGTTTTAGTAAACATGTTTGAAAAAAAAAAAGCATTGACAAAACTTTTGTTGCTATGAAACATCCTTTTTTTTTTTCTTCTAATAACTAACGACATCTTAGCAAATATTCTATTGATTATTGCAATTCTTTTTCTTTTTTTGTATCGTGAAAGCAACGAAACGGTTGCTAACTAACTAACTAGGTCTGATTTGTTTTTTGTTTTTTTTTTTTTTTTTGAAGATGTTATCTAGATTTTATTTATATCAAACTAGTCGTCGTTTGATTATTATTTCAACTCGAGTGACTCTATCTACTTTACCTTATCCAAGAGTTAGTGAAATAGAAGCAACACAAGATGGAATTCCAATTAATTATTTACCACAACAAAATTTATCAAATAAACTTAAAGATAATAATATAAAACTTGTTCCTCTTAATGATCTTTTAGAAGCTAAACGATTAGAAAAAACATCTCTTATTTCAAATACAGAAAAATCAATTGATAATAATCTTCATCAAAATACAAAAATATCAAGTAGACTTGTTTTATCTGGTACACCAATTAATAGAAATATACCATCATTACCAAATAAACAACATGAACGAATACCATCATCACGTTTTTCTGCTTTTCTTCGAAGTATTCGATCTGGTTTATCATTTTTTCCATCAAAGAAAACTAATGTATCATCTTCAGGAGATATTACTACAACACGAGAACATTTTATTCCGGTAGGGAATTTTTTTTTTTTAGAGAATAAACGAGTTGTAATCGAAGATAGATTTGATTAAAATTATTTCGTGAAAAAAGTCGAATCTTTAATTAACTTTCGATTTATTAAAGATATTATTGCAAACGTATAATGTGTTCAAGAAAATTTTCTTCATTTGAAAATTCAAGTAAAGAAATGTTTATCTTGTAGAACTAAGGAGAAAAACATCGTAAACAACTTCTTCTTCTATTTAACGCTATAATTCATTACTTTATGGAATTAAAAGTGCTTCTATTAATAAAAAGTAGTTTTTATATGGCTTTTTTTGCAGTTGTGAGCGAGTCTTTCGTATACTATAAGACGAGAAATTTTTCTTTTTTTTTTAGCGACAAATTCTGCACTGCTGAATATACAGTTACTAACGAGAGAATGTATCGAATTGTTGGACAACATATTATGGCTACAAGTAGGTATCGGTAAGACTAAGACTACGGCCTATTGATAAAGAATTATGATTGTTTTGAATGAAATTTTTATTGAGAGAGTCAAGCATTTCTGTAAAGAGTATTCATCTAAAATTTTGCTCGCAGGCAGATTTGAAAGTTTCAAATGTAAACGAGCATATCTTTCTCGAGATATTCAATCTCACATTGAATATCTCGAGAAAGACATGTTTATTTTCATTGACACTTTAAGGACTATCAAAGGTGTCTGCAGACAAAATTTGAAGTCAACACTCTTTGTTTTAGATTTTTTCGGCAATGCTATGCTCTCAATAAAAAAATTATATTTAAGCAGCCATAACTCCTCATCAGTAGGCTGTGGTCTTAGTCTTACCGATATCTGATTCTAGCCATAATATGAAGTCAAACAGCATTATCTTCCTCGTAAGACTATTGTTATATTATCAGAACTTGAACAGATTTTGAAAGTTGAATAATGATTTATCCATTTGTTTAATAGAAAAATATTCTTGATAGATATCCAATATGTCGAATTTAGAGCCCGTCGGGTCCAAAAATTTTGGACTCGGACCCGGCTGATCAAATTTTTTTGAATCCGGACCCGGTCAACAGGAAATTTTTGCGTCCCGGTTCAGGTTCGGAACCAACTTGATGGACACTAGTTGAGTTACAAACTTTAATATTTTTGTCTATACTCGATAATTATTGATTCAATATTGTTGAAAACTCATTTTTTCTTTATCTATGCTTCATTGAAACTTTTGATAAGAATTTATAATTTCCTTCATTTTCGTTATAGTTCGGAGTTCAGGTCGCTTCGGGTATTCAAGCAGTTCTTGAAGTATATAACCACCTTTAGGTTTGATTTACTTCTACTTCCTAGTTTTATTAACTGACAATGACTACATTCAAGATCAAACTTAAAATATTCGAATTCAGTACATTCCTAGTCTATATTTCTTAATTAATTTGATAGTAACTGTATTTTTTATTTTCTAGTTAACACGTCCTTCATTAATACGTTTAATAGCTACTGATACTCTGCTAGTAGATAATGATGATGATCGTCTTGTATTTCATCAATTATGTGAAGGTTTTGATAGTGCTGTTGTACAACGTTATCATCCAATATTAAATGAATTAAAAAATTTATTTAATCCATTAAATCCTGATAATGAAACAATTGATCATTATATATCATCTCGTGATCGTTTAGATAATGAATATTGGTTATTACAAAAAATAGATGATTTACTTCATCGTTCAAATTTTATAGAATTACCAAGAAATATTCTTGTAGAAAAATTTATTGTAAAAGAAAATTTATCATTATCAAATATTAATATTAAAATAAATGGTCATGATTATGATGTATTAAAATTTTGGATACTTGGTCATGAACAAATACCAATTGAACAATTATCACGATGGAAAAAATTATTTCGAAAATCATATTCATTAAAAACAAATGATTATTTAAAACGTGTTATTTTAGCTGTACGTCTTAAAGGACAAGATCGTTTATATCTTAAAGCATTTCGTGATATACCATTGGAAAATCTTCCACAATTATTACCTATTGGTAAATTACAAATAGGTCAATTTGAACAACGACTTATTTGGTTTACATTTTTTATTGCAACAAGTACAGCTGTTACACATTTAATAACAACAATGGCTAATTTTCAGATACCAGGTTTAATTATTGGTGGAAGTAGTTTAACATTATTTCTTATACTTTGGTCATTACGTAGTTCTTATAAATCAAAAATAAATTCGTTATCAAATATGAATCGATTATTATTCTATAAAAATATAGCATCTAATAAACAATTATTAGCAATGATTATTGATCGAGCAGAAGATGAATTAAGTAAAGAAGTGTATGTAATAGTATAATTTTAATTGACTAATTCAGGAGATCAAAATTTCGGCCTGTGACCTTATTGTCATCTAAAATTTTAAAAAATCCAATTTTCTTAATTAGTGGTGAGGCATCGTAATGGTGAGCAGGATGACATTAGTTCTCAGCAATACGACATGATGCTGAGTAGGGCGATATTCAGTGCTGTTCAAAATTTTTAGGTTTTTGTCTCTGATGCCAAGTGCCCAATTCAAATACAAATAATGATTTGAATAGTAAACAAAGTTCTCTATCAGATGCATAAGATTTGATAATTGGATTATATGGAAAAGTTTACTAAGAAAAGCCGAATATGATAGTTTTTAGATATCGATGTAGGAGTTCGTTTTGAGAGATGGCCACATTTTTTTGATGATCTCCCTTTACAAAGCTATAAGCATCACTCAGCACAAAAGCAGAATCAACATTTACCAAAAAATTTGCTGAAAAATGCATTTTGTTGTTTTTTTTTGTGTTGCTT